AATGTTTTAAATATATATGTTATAATCATCACATACATAATATTATAATATTAAAAATGTGTATATTAACAAATTTAACAATATGAATAGAATTTAATAACTACTATTTTAACTTTAAAATGGTGTATGGGCAATTATTACCTGTGCACAACATCCTATACACAATGAATGTGGTTTAAACGAACGTCTTGTCAATAAATATTGTGGTTTAGTTCAGTCCAACCAGCAATCATCACCGCTTATTCTGTTCTATGGATACAGTACGCGACACTGTCGTAAACTACTCTACGCTTTACGGCAGCCGGTTGTCAGTTGCTGCATGTGGCTCCATGTGAGTGCAGAATAACAGAGAACGGTGAAGAACTGAATGTATTCTGCAAGCTTTTCAGTGTCTGATAAACGATCACATAATAGTATCTAGAAATTTTTAAGAACTTTACTTTCTTGACATGTAATCATGAAGCTCTACAGATGTCCTCTCTGTGATATCATTTCCTGGTTAATAGTGGTCTTGTCACATGACAAGAAAATGGGCAACTTACTGCACCACACTGATTATTTGGCGGACAAAAGTTTTTAAAATAATTTTGTAATAAGAAATAATATATACAGTATACATATATTCATAATTACGTTTTTTTTTTAGCTTTATTGTTTTTAAAGATATTTTTCACCACCTTGACATTTTGGCCACACAAAAAATATCAGAAACTATATTATTTGGAAATGAAAAAAATGTTTGTTTATTTATTTATTCATTTATATATATATATATATATATATATATTGTTAATCAAATCTATTTAAATGAAAAGAAATCTTCCACTACCAGACTACCAGTTTTTTCTTTCAAGGTTTGTTTTAGCTCGTCCATAAAGAAATTTAGTTTCTTTTTTTTGAATGATATATTTATTTTATTCATAATATTGCTTGTTGATTTCGTCATTAGTAAGTCACTTTGTTTAAAAGCATCTGCTAAATGAATAAAATATAAATACTTTTTATACTTACAAATATTATATTCAAATTTCATATGTCTATTCAAAAATAATATCAAGCAATAAAAATAATAAGAAGAATATCAAGCATTTAAGCGCTATCCTTTAGATCAAAACTTGGTACAACACTTGGTACAATCTGATATGAAATTCAAATACATGTTCATCAGAAATACTAATATTTCGCACTCAGATTTACGGCGCCGTTGTGTTCTGTCTCAGGAGGAGTATTATGGGTGCGAGTTGCTGCTGGCCGACAGAGATATGGTGGAACAACAGGCAGATGAGATCCTGAAGGGATGTGGTGTTTCTAGTGGTTGGTGATCCTTTTGGGTAGTACTAACTAACTACTTCACAATCTACAGTAGCCTGTCTCTGCTGTCATATTTAATCCATATATGATAACAAGTCAAGTCACCTTTATTTATTTAGCGCTTTTAACAGTACAGATTGTGTCAAAGCAATTGTATAGCATTAAATAGGAAAATAGTGTGTCAATAATGCAAAAAGGCAGTTCATCATTGAATTCAGTGGTCATCATCCAGCTCCATTCAGTTTAAATAGTATCTGTGCAATCAAGTCGACGATATAGCTGGAAATTAAGTGAAATTAAATTAACTTCTCAACAAGTTCAAAATTGTCCTGAACTCAAATATCCGCCAGTGAGGTTTACCTCTCAACAGTTCAGTTTGCCAACTTTCATTTATGAGGTTTCTGTGCATATTGGTCATATGATGCACCTCATGTTGCCATTGTTTTGACTCACCCATAACTTGCCATCACATATGCCACAATCCCACGAGTGCAATGACTCATCTGGAAACCTAAATCCAGACATTACACAGACTTTCATCGGAAAGCTTTATCACTGGCCTTTCTGAGTTATATTTTATTTTTTAGAAAAGAAATTATATGAGAAATTGCTGGAAATGTTCAAACTTATTTGGCTAATAAACTCTGATTCTGATAATGCCCTCAAGTACAATTAAGTGCACTTGCAAGCATGCACTCCTCAAAATAAATATCCCTTTCTACCGTAAGTGTAATGAAACATCAGAAAAAAAAACAATCGGAAAACACTTTCTACAGCCTAACAGGAGATAAATAATGGAAATGTTTCCTATTATTCAGGACATTTGTGCCTGAAGAACCACAGAGTGGTTGAGCACCAAAGCTCTGGGGTGCAACGTTATCGCTCTTACGAGAAGTGGGATGTGGACGTCTGAGGTGTGGGTACTTTGGAAATTCTCCAGAAGAGATGAGCTAATTACGCCGCACTTTCCCGTCTCGGTCGCTTCTAGTCACGGTTAAGCTTTGCGTAGTGTTTGGCTCCAGCGTTTTTCCAGCCAAACCACCGAAACCCACATAGCGGGAGGGGGACGGGGGTCTGACTCCTCGTTTTCCTGCACTTAAGAATGTGTGGGTTTAATAAAGTTTAATGATATATCCAAGATCGAAAGGATAAGCATCTTTGGCGCAATTTGGATTACTTCCACATGTAAACAGCGCAACACCGTAGTAAGAAAGATATTGATAAGTAGCCATTTTTCTGTGGTTGGCGCATGTTTTGGAGTCGTGTACGCAAAAAAAACAACAGCTGCATTTCTTCTCTTCAGAGCTACGACCCACACCCTGGTTCTGCGAGCGTTGAATGCTGGGATTCAGTATCGCGTTATTCACAATGCCTCCATCATGAACGCGGTGGGCTGCTGTGGATTGCAGGTAAGGCCCAAGTTTACCATTGTTTGGTGAATTTTTGCAAGCGAAATTCAGTCATTTTAATTGGAATCGACGCGATTTGAAATTTCATGTGAGGGCGAAATATTTTCCCTTGCAAATTTGGCAACTGGTTCAAATTGGTCACGCAGATTCACTGCGTTGACCAACAGAAAGTAGTTCGCTTTGAAAGTGACTTCTGCTTTATACAACGCTACACGATTACCAACAGACCTTATTTGCCCTCGAAATTTTGATGAAAATTCGGTAATGCGACCGCACCTTAACTCAATGCTTCCCCATGGCGTCATTGTCAACATGTACTTTCCAGAGAATGTATTTCATATATATTGTTAATCAAATCTATTTAAATGAAAAGAAATCTTCCACTACCAGTCAGAAGTTTTTTTCTTTCAAGGTTTGTTTTAGCTCGTCCATAAAGAAATTTAGTTTCTTTTTTTTGAATGATATATTTATTTTATTCATAATATTGCTTGTTGATTTCGTCATTAGTAAGTCACTTTGTTTAAAAGCATCTGCTAAATGAATAAAATATAAATACTTTTTATACTTACAAATATTATATTCAAATTTCATATGTCTATTCAAAAATAATATCAAGCAATAAAAATAATAATAAGAATATCAAGCATTTAAGCGCTATCCTTTAGATCAAAACTTGGTACAACACTTGGTACAATCTGATATGAAATTCAAATACATGTTCATCAGAAATACTAATATTTCGCACTCAGATTTACGGCGCCGTTGTGTTCTGTCTCAGGAGGAGTATTATGGGTGCGAGTTGCTGCTGGCCGACAGAGATATGGTGGAACAACAGGCAGATGAGATCCTGAAGGGATGTGGTGTTTCTAGTGGTTGGTGATCCTTTTGGGTAGTACTAACTAACTACTTCACAATCTACAGTAGCCTGTCTCTGCTGTCATATTTAATCCATATATGATAACAAGTCAAGTCACCTTTATTTATTTAGCGCTTTTAACAGTACAGATTGTGTCAAAGCAATTGTATAGCATTAAATAGGAAAATAGTGTGTCAATAATGCAAAAAGGCAGTTCATCATTGAATTCAGTGGTCATCATCCAGCTCCATTCAGTTTAAATAGTATCTGTGCAATCAAGTCGACGATATAGCTGGAAATTAAGTGAAATTAAATTAACTTCTCAACAAGTTCAAAATTGTCCTGAACTCAAATATCCGCCAGTGAGGTTTACCTCTCAACAGTTCAGTTTGCCAACTTTCATTTATGAGGTTTCTGTGCATATTGGTCATATGATGCACCTCATGTTGCCATTGTTTTGACTCACCCATAACTTGCCATCACATATGCCACAATCCCACGAGTGCAATGACTCATCTGGAAACCTAAATCCAGACATTACACAGACTTTCATCGGAAAGCTTTATCACTGGCCTTTCTGAGTTATATTTTATTTTTTAGAAAAGAAATTATATGAGAAATTGCTGGAAATGTTCAAACTTATTTGGCTAATAAACTCTGATTCTGATAATGCCCTCAAGTACAATTAAGTGCACTTGCAAGCATGCACTCCTCAAAATAAATATCCCTTTCTACCGTAAGTGTAATGAAACATCAGAAAAAAAAACAATCGGAAAACACTTTCTACAGCCTAACAGGAGATAAATAATGGAAATGTTTCCTATTATTCAGGACATTTGTGCCTGAAGAACCACAGAGTGGTTGAGCACCAAAGCTCTGGGGTGCAACGTTATCGCTCTTACGAGAAGTGGGATGTGGACGTCTGAGGTGTGGGTACTTTGGAAATTCTCCAGAAGAGATGAGCTAATTACGCCGCACTTTCCCGTCTCGGTCGCTTCTAGTCACGGTTAAGCTTTGCGTAGTGTTTGGCTCCAGCGTTTTTCCAGCCAAACCACCGAAACCCACATAGCGGGAGGGGGACGGGGGTCTGACTCCTCGTTTTCCTGCACTTAAGAATGTGTGGGTTTAATAAAGTTTAATGATATATCCAAGATCGAAAGGATAAGCATCTTTGGCGCAATTTGGATTACTTCCACATGTAAACAGCGCAACACCGTAGTAAGAAAGATATTGATAAGTAGCCATTTTTCTGTGGTTGGCGCATGTTTTGGAGTCGTGTACGCAAAAAAAACAACAGCTGCATTTCTTCTCTTCAGAGCTACGACCCACACCCTGGTTCTGCGAGCGTTGAATGCTGGGATTCAGTATCGCGTTATTCACAATGCCTCCATCATGAACGCGGTGGGCTGCTGTGGATTGCAGGTAAGGCCCAAGTTTACCATTGTTTGGTGAATTTTTGCAAGCGAAATTCAGTCATTTTAATTGGAATCGACGCGATTTGAAATTTCATGTGAGGGCGAAATATTTTCCCTTGCAAATTTGGCAACTGGTTCAAATTGGTCACGCAGATTCACTGCGTTGACCAACAGAAAGTAGTTCGCTTTGAAAGTGACTTCTGCTTTATACAACGCTACACGATTACCAACAGACCTTATTTGCCCTCGAAATTTTGATGAAAATTCGGTAATGCGACCGCACCTTAACTCAATGCTTCCCCATGGCGTCATTGTCAACATGTACTTTCCAGAGAATGTATTTCACTATCGTGCATCATTCAGGCCCCGTCTCTCGTGAAAATGATCAAACGACAATACGGCCTTTGTGCCATAGGCATCCCAGCGGAGTCTATCAACGAAGCCTACTGGCCATCAATAACAGCCCCCTGTATTGACCTGTCAGGGCAGCTTTGTGTACCAAGAGGCCCCAGATGCCGCCCTAAGCTCACTATAGGCGTCTTCAGATGATCTGAGATCAGCGGTGCCATTTCTAAAAGATATTATTTAGGCAGGAAAAGCAGGTCCTAAATCATCTGCCACAGCTGCTGCTCTCAACCACAGAGGGATCTGGTAGCTTAATGCACACTTTGCAGTTACTGTTTGAGTGTAGCTCAATATGCACTAATTGGAAGCAATCAACAGCAAGGGATTCCACAAAAAAGCATGACTTGAGACTTTCTACACCCAAAGTGTGTCGTTTTGTTTCCAAAGATTGTATTGGAAGGATTCATTTTGCTCTGCTTCCCTATGACTAGGTAGTGGATTCTGAATGACGATCTTAAAAGTTGCAATGAAGGAAACGTAGTGACAGATCTTTTCTTTCACATTGTGACATACATCCGAGTGAAACCGATGATCAAAAATGAAAAAAAAAGTATCATTGGAACTCTCTATTTATTAGTTGTTGATTTGATGGAGGCAGATCTGAATGCAAAATTTGTAAACCAAAAAAAAATAAAAAATTGCATGGATCAATTGGTAACAATATGATCAGCTTGTATTTAGAAATAGGTAAAGTGAATTTTCATTTTTAATTTAAATGCCGAATTTAAATGTGTATTTCATCCAAAAATGAAACTTCTGTCCCCGTGTCGTTCCAAGCCTGACTGACTTCCATTCTTGCACTGCATACAAAAGAAGATATTTTGACAAATGATTCAACTGTTTTTGTTCATATAATTAAAGTCAGTGGGGTCCAAAAATACTGGACCTCATTGACTTTCATTGTGTGGACAAAAACATTTTTCATGTTCAAAAGACATTTTTCAAAACATCTTCTTTTCTTAGACTATCAGCACACTAAAACCTGCAGAGCCCCACACATCAAATGCAAGAAGAAATAGATATCATGTCCACAAAATAAAAATTAGTTTCCACAACAGATTGATTTGTTGCCATATTTTAATTATATACCATTTGCTGAACTTATTAATCGGTTCCCTTGTTTAGGTCAATTGAATCCATGCTTGTTCCCTTGTTTTAATTTTATTTGACCCAATGGCCACAATTGAACTAAAACAAGGGAGCAAATTAATAATTTGCGGGTATGATATCTTGTTTCTGTCAATGTTTTTCCCCCTTACATGTAATGTGCGGGGCCCGTAAATACTCTCTTCATCCCCTTTAAAGGGATAGTTCACCCAAAAATGAATATTCTGTCATTCATTTATCACCCTCATGTCATTCCAAACCCTTAAGACCTTCATTCAACAGAAATTAAGATAATTCTTTAATAAATCCGAGATCTTTTTGACCCTCCATGGACACAAAGGGAACTGAAACATTCAAGGCCCAGAAAAGATTGTTAAAATAGTCCATGTGACATCAGTGGTTCAACCGTAATGTTATGTAGCTACGAGAATACTTTTTGTGCAAAAAAGAAAACAAAATTAACAACTTTATTCAACAGTTTCTTCTCTTCCGTGTCAGTCAACATGCATTCACGAGAGTACCACGGTGATGACAGAATTTTCATTTTTGGGTGATCTATCCCTTTAAGTCTCCACTGCTGAATTTGTTATAGATAAACAAAAAGGAATTTATCTAGGTCTCTAGTTGACCTCAGTAACCAAGTAGGTCAGGGGTGTCCAAACCTGCTCCTGGAGGGCCACTGTCCTGCAGAGTTTAGCTCCAACCCTAATTAAACACACCTGAACCAGCTAATCAAGGTCTCCAGACTCACTAGAAAATTCCAGGCAAGTGTGTTGGAGATCGTTGGCCCTCCAGGAGCATAATTGGACACCCCTGGACTTGGAAGATGTGGGACGACTTCTATGTGTTTGTTCATGTCTCACTAATACGTGCTTCAGAGGGTCTGTAGGACCTAAAGTAACCAGTAACAAGTCTGCCTGCTGTAATGTCACTTTGTTGTGTCAGCTGTGTGGCACTCTAGTGTTCAGAATGATGTCATGCTTACTGAATAACAGGAAGCACCTTGTCGGTGTCTAAACAGAGCTGGCTACTCGTGAACACAGTGACCAATGCAAAATAAGAACTAGTGTGAGTAAATAAAGTATGAATGTGGTTGCATTTTCCTCCTTAGCTGTACAACTTCGGGGAGACGGTGTTCATTGTGTTTTGGATGGACACATGGAGACCTGAAAGCTTCTACGATAAGATAAAAAAGAACAGGGATATGGGCCTGCACACGCTGTGCCTGCTGGGTAAGCACTTCCTTTGAGTCTTTGTGAACGAGATGTTGTAATTAGAACGTTATATGATGTGGCACAATTGGCAGGTTCTCCGGTTTGTCCCTTGGCTCACGTCCTGAAGCATGTATGCGTGTTGCATCTTTAACAGTCACTGTAGCAATGAATGTGTCAAAACCAGATGAGACGACCCCCGTATTTTGACGTTCCGTCAAATCGGCAGTTCCCTTCGGGGCACACATTAAACTTGGGCCCATTGCAAACGCTCTGGTACCCCCAAGGCAGATGGTCACAAATAATTTACGTTTATATCTCTGTGCCATGGAGATTTTCAGCCAACTCTTAATAAACCCCCGTTTTCCAAAGTACCAGTGGGATTTCCCATTGGAAGGCATCTTTGGTAATGAATGTTGGTAAAAATCGTAGTCTGTTGGTCGGGGTAGTGTCTCATTGGTTGGCGGGACCGAGGGGGAGGGGCGGGAGTCCCCAGGTGCTTCCCAGCTGAGGAGTCTGAGAGCAAGAACGAGGACAAAAATGAGCAAGAGAGGGATCAGGGTTATTAACCTCATTATTCAAAAGCAAACAGAGGAAGGCGGGGATTGGACACCTCCCCGTCCACCCTTGGCCGCAAGCGCACTTATCTAATACAATAACCTGCAGACACAACAAAAGCACACACACACACACAGACAAAACACAGAGCCTATACACTGCATCCATTCATAACGTTGCTAACAAGACATGGGCTATTAATCTAGCTGGCAAATATTGGTCAATTTATTTGCTGGTGTTTCTAAATTAAATTCAAAAATAAAATTAGATTTGTAACTCCAAAAAAGTCTAGTACAGTGTCTACACCGTACATCAACTTTTTCCATTTCAGTTTTTGATTCACTACACTGCTACTCCAGCCACTTTTTCCTGTCCAACTAAAAATGTAAGTGATTTTGTTTTACAAATATCATTAATAAATTCTTCATTCAAATTTGTTCATTTTGTGCTTTTTGTTTCATTTTTTATGGATTTATGTCATTTTTCTTTTCTTTTCTTTTTTTCTTTTTTTTTTTAATTTTCAAAAAACAATTTTTTACAAATATCATTATGAATTTTATGACAATTTTCTAGGTTCTGTTTTTGTCAAATATCCTTAATTAATTATGCATTTTATGTCAGTTTCCCAGTTTCTATTTTTTTCAGAAATAAAATTCATTTGACAAATATAATTACGTGTTTTGTGTAAATTTGCTGTTTTTTTTTTTTTGTACAATTTATTTTATGTCAGTTTTCTGGTTTCTAGCCTACTAATTTTAATGTTTTGAGACGCTTTTATATGTAAAAAAAAAAAAAAAAAGTTAGATTTACATACTTTTTTGCTATTCTAAAATGCATGCAAATCAGTTTTGATACCAGATTTCCATTTCTAAAGAAAGTAGGAAACAAAGAAAGTGTCCCATTTTACTGTAGCTGAAGTTTAGCCTTGAACTTTCATCTGATTGGTCCGTTATTTATGAACATTTTGAGGTTAACGTAGACGCTTTCAGTGTAGACATGGTGCGAGAACATGACTGGTCGTGATTTGTACATTTGTCTTTGTTCTCAAAATGGGGCCCTCTCAAGTGCAGTCTGAAAATGTACTCACGCTCCAGACTGCGTGGGGTTAACAGCTCCAGATGGAGGGGCGACCTACTATTTATGATGTGACAGTAACATCCAGAGAGGCCTAGTTTATAAAACCCAAGCTTATTGTATCGTACAACACTTACAACTCCCTTGTTTCGCAGATATCAAAGTCAAAGAGCAGTCCATGGAGAATTTAATGAGGTAAGACTCTCACTTTCTGATTTTCTGTGGGGTTGTGCTGATTTATATCTAGTCTGTGGTGCTTTTCCAGGAGGGTCGTTTTGTGGTTTCATGCAAGTTGCTGGGGGGCAGACTGGTTGAGTAGGAAAAAAATAACAAAAGTAAAAACCGTGGCAGCTTGTTTGACTTGGAAGCATGATATGTTATCATGGACCTTCCCTGGGCCGCCTCCAGAACTGCCACGGTATAATTTTCCCATCTGAACCCTTCAGAAATATGTTTTATCGGCAACAGTGAATTTCATCGTCTGCTTTCAAACTTGAACTCGAAGTCTTTCCGAAAAAAACCTTCACTTCACTGTTGAATTATTTCTCGTCGTAGAAGATGGTTGTTAACTCCTTGCTCTCTCCGTGGTGTCCTGTAATTATCTCCCCCCTTGGTCATGCACTTTGTGTAATTTTATATCCAATCCACATAAACCCCAAATGGGTTTAGTGTTCCACTATGTACGCTATAAGGAGACGAGCATTAGGCCTGTTGCGTGCTCCCTGTTCAAGGCTGGAAAGTGTGCTAATGTCTCCCAGATTTATTGGCACTGTTGTACCATTACTCGGAAATGGAATAACCATATGCTGCATGATTTTGGTCACAGTCAGATGCTTGTCCAGTGAGGTTTGGTGCCCTTCACTGCAGGGAGGGGGAAACAGCCCCAAAAAGAAATTCAAAGCATGTCTCCAACTTCCTTAAGCTGACTGATTTCATCAAGGATGGACCATTGGTCCGTTAATGGCTAATGCACCCTAAGTAAAGAATTCAGAGTATTTAACTTTAAAGCTCAGATGTAAATTGCATTAATGGCCACCTACTTGCACAATGTTCTGGGACCACCTGCAACTTATAGGATTTGTTCACAACTGAATAAAAATTTCCTGACAATTTACTCACCCCCATGTCATCCAAGATGTTCATGTCTTTATTTCTTCAGTCAAAAAATAAATTAAGCAGGATTTTTCTCCATATAGTGGACTTCAACAGGATTGAACGTCCAAATTTCAGTTTTAGTGCACCGTCTAAGTGTTCTACACAATCCCAGCCCAAGAATAAGGTTCTTATGTAGCAATACGATCCGTCATTTTCTAAAAAAAAATAAGTAAAAATTTGTATACATTTTAACCACAAATGCTCGTCTTGCACTAGCTCTGCGTCCACGACTTCATGCATTACGTAGTCACGCTGGAAAGGTCACACGTGACTTAGGCTGAAGTACCGACCCATGTGTTTACAAAGCGAACGTGCAAAGAAAGTCAAACACCCTTTACAAAAAAGGTAAATCGATGTCAGATGATTTTGAAGTTGGAGGAGAAAATCATATGGTGTTTTTCAACCTACACTAACCTTTTCAACCGAAGTACAAAGACGAAAAACTAACCACACGTGTCCTTTCCAGCGTGATTATATAATGCATTGCAGAGCTAGTGCAAGACAAGCAATTGTGGTTAAAAAGTACATACATTTGTATTTTTTTAGAAAATGACTGATTGTTTCACTAGATAAGACCCTTAATCTTCAGCTGGGATCATGTAGAGCCTTTGAAGTTGCATTGAAACTGCAGTTTGGACCTTCAACATATTGGTCCCCATTGAAGTCCAATATATGAAGATAAATCCTGGAATTTAATTTCTTTTTGACTGAAGAAAGAAAGACAATGAACATCTTGGATGACATTGGGGTGAGTAAATTATCAGGAAATTTTAATTCAGGAATGAATTAATCCTTTAAGGTTACCAGTGCATTAACTAATTTTGACACTGTCAAGGATCCAGACAAATTAGAAGACACCAGATACTTCTGCTCACCTTAAAGTTTACCAGTCCCCTCTTTCTAGGGGTCGAAAGATTTACGAGCCTCCCAGGTACATGACTGTCACTCAGGCAGCTGAGCAACTCCTGGAGATACTACAGAACCGACGGGATCGGGGCGAGGAACTGGGTAACTCTTGCAAACCTTTCTAAATTGCATGAAAGCCTTTGTGAAATTTGTGGTTAAACCATCTTGACGTCTGGCCGACTCTGGCAAGCATTGATGGAAAATTGGGTTAGATTTGATTGAAAGCTTTGTGAGCTTTGGTTTCATGGTTTATCCTATGTTCTTTCCTTCAATGCAGCAATGACTGAAGACACAGTGTGTGTTGGTCTGGCTCGGGTCGGAGCCGAGGACCAGACCATCCGTTCTGGGACACTGCAAGAGTTGGCATCCAGTGACCTGGGAGGACCACTTCACTTAATGATCATCAGCGGACACCTTCACCCTCTGGAGGTGGACATGTTGAAACTCTTCAGTGGTTCTGAGGGATTGAAGACCTTGAAGATGACCGATAGTTCCACATATGTTTCTTGATATCCAAGAAGCTTGTGCTCTTCATGAAAAAAAATCCCTTTCCAGTGCTCTTAGGATTTTTTTAAAAAGGAAATCGGACAAGCCGGTCCACGTGAGAGCCTGGAGCTGCCGGAGGGTCAGGAGAACACGCAAATGACATGATTGTTATTCCAGATCAAATTTGACCACTTTAACCTTTAAGCACCGGTCAGGCATGGGTTGCATTTCATTACAAGATTTAGATTGGGAGTGGGATGATTATTTTGACGTGTGGCAGTCATGTTCTTGCTGTCAAAAAAGTAAATGATGGAATTATAATAGAGGAAATGGAAAAGGTTATTGTGGACCAACTGCATCTGGGTTGCATTAGTGCCTCTGAAATTGAGCTTTCTTCGAAATTGGCATAATGTTTCCGTACCAAGAGCCTTTCTTAATGGAACTTTCTCAGTAAGAATGTAAATAAGATAAAAGCAAATACTGAGATTCCTTTGAGCATGTCATAATGGATGAAGATTGATTTTCGTACAATAAAGACACTCATTTCGGTGCCACTGATCACATCAACGCCCTACATGTGGTTTGACTGTTTTCATCTACATCTGTGGTTTTGTTTGTAGTCTCTCATTTCATTTCTGTCAGCATGAATTGCATAAAAAGTGAACAAAGCTATTGTCAGAAAGTAGTTTGCCTAGTAGTTTTCTGATTTGAGTTCACGTGCTGCATTTAGAGATGATTGTGTTTACAGATCTGCATCTGGTTTATACTGCCGTCGAAGTACAAAGCCCAAGATTCACCAACTTTCATTAAGCATTTACTGGTTCAAGTGAAGGATATGTATCTTTTGCCACACCTTTGACAAAAAACTTACTTAAGTCCTTGTTTATATGTAATAGTCTTTGTTATAAGAATATTATAAATTTTCTAACATCCGAATATTCTTAAAGGGGTCATGACTTGAGAAACCAAATTTCCTTTGATCTTTTGACATAGAAGAGGTCTTTGTATGCTTAATACATCCTGCAAGTTTCATAACTTAAAATGTCCTCATCATCAATAAAAAAAGCATTTATGAAATAACCCTCAGAAAACGACTCGTTTGGATCCAAGGTGCCAGGTGATGTCACAGGGGTTCGGTCGTTTGCATAAAGACTGCCTCCAAGACATTGACGAATAGTCTTCTTCTCATCATCCAGTAGGCCCAGCCCACTGTTGTTCAGTCGCTTAACAGCTGACACTTGATTATGATGAATGCGAGTAATGCATCACTTCGCATCAAAAGCAAATAGAAATTACAATCACTGCCGCTATCTTGTCTACACTGGATACAGTATACAGATGCACGTTCGCTTTCGGACACAGTCCATGTGCTTGAGTCTGTCGTCAATTGAACAAATGGAGTGAAAGAACGTTCGCTTTGATGCGTTTGGTTTAAACAGCTCGTTCACATCTTTGTACAGATATCAGAAGGTTCCCAGCGTAAGGAACAAGTGGATAGTTTATTTTTGATGGCATCCCAGATTGTGTCTGAGGATTGGTCGGACCATTTTGTTTTGTAAACGAGGCACAGTGTCATGGAGAGTTCACAAAGAAACATCTGTTGAAAAATGAAGCGGTACTAGATCTGACTGCTGCTGCATCCCAAACCGTAAGTAAATTATTTCATATTGCTTTGTCTGGAAATGACCATTTTATTTTTTATCTTGTTGTCAAAACACTCATATTCAATAGCGAGGTGGCGTTGATACAGTTCACTATGCAGTGAGGTTAGCCAATCATAACAGTGGCCAATTACTGACAAGCCTTAAAGGGCCCGCCCCTTAAAAACAGGTTGTTTTAGACGGTCAGAATGAGGGTTGAAAATAAGTTTTCCCACATATTTACTTTTTTTTTTTGTTCAAAAAACTTGGACATGTTAACATTATAAGTAAACCTCAAGGAACATATTAAAATAATAAAAATGTCATGACCCCTTTAAGATATTTGCTTGTGCTATAAGTGTGGGCCTACTTTGTCATATTTTTTGCAGAACACTTTTATATTTTCCACCTAGCATTTTTCTAAGTAACAGTTCTGTGATAAAACACTCAAGACTATCCTGTGTGTTTCTCAAAGAAACATGGTTTATTCTTACAAAGGAGAAGTGAAATGTCAGTGTTAAAAGTGTCTTTACCCTACCCATCTGTAAATAACCCTTACGAAAATTAACCATGGTTTTACCACAAATAAAACCAAAAAACCATGGCTACTATAGTTAAACTGTGGCAACCACAAATTAACCATGGTTTTGCTAAATGTCCTTTCTTGTAAATGTCCTGTCTTCAACCCATTCCAGAGCAGAATTAATTTCATTTTAATTTGGTTTAAGTACAGCTGAAAACACAAAGTAAAAGATGTATTTATATTGAGAAAATCACTGGAGGAAATCTTGATCAGTTTTAAACTGGTAAAGGTCTGTGTCTAGACAGGATCAGCCTTGATGAACTGTTTCCACCTATTACTTCAAAGGAAATAAACAGTAATATGCTCTGACATTTTACTGCAAATATGTTGGACTTGCCTACTAATGCTTGTACCTTCTTGTGCATTCATGGAGAAATCATAGAGCTGTTTTATGATTTGCATTCAAGTCATTCATCAGACTTCTGCATGAAAACAGCTGCGTCTGTGTCATTCTGTCTATATGACAGAGTTTAGGAACTTGTTCATACAAATTTTACACCGTGCATAAACAGCAAAGCCAAATGCAAAGGAATGTTTTAATTGTAGACAGAACTCAAGGTCATAAAGATCCAGTTTTCATCGCATTCATTTTGACCATCAAACATGATGGTCCAAGCGATTGTCCATGATCATTTAAAAATTTTTAAAAAGGCACTTAAGAAATGCAGTCAAATATTTACGTTTACATAATGGCATTGGCGAAACAAATTCTGCACCTCTTTACAACTGAAAAACAAAGTAGGTGATGTACAAAAAGTCAATGAATCACATACTGCTATTTTTACAAATGTCCACTGAACTCCACATTCATACCACCGATAATTAAAATCTCATTCTGATGATGGGAAAGGGCAGCAATTATGAGGAAAAGAAACAGTTTGTTGGGATCATAAAAAAATCAAAAGCAATGGGGAACTTCACAAACAAAAAGTTCAAATGATCGAGAGGGTGCACTAATGTTGCAAGTTCTTGTTTCCCTCAAAAACATCACATTGTTGTAACTGGTCAGTTGATTTCTGGCAAGAGTGGAGTCAGACTGCTGGACTGCACCAGCTCCATCTTGATCCAAGATGGAAGTGGAGCAACAGAAACCCAAAAAGAGATGGGTTGAGGTGGAGAATTTCCCCACAGCAGCACAGAAGGCCTTTGGTCCCGGGACTCCCAAAGATCAGGAGAAGTGTGGTGGACTTCTACATGGCTGCCACATCAATCTGAACATACAGTTGTCTGACGCCAACCTGGGCACAGGGCAGAAAAGATCATGTAATGGAAACTTTGAAACATCACTCAAGTGAGATGAAGTTCTTACAGCTGTGTTTTCAAACAATCCCCACCTGTGTGAAAATGTTGTGCGTCTGGCTGAGAATCCATCTAGAATCTGCATCAGGCGCCACGAGGAGTTTGAGTGTACCAATGTAGACGTCTGTGCAAAGGGTCCAGAAATGAGGTTCTTGGAGGTTATAGACACCCTGAAGCTGCTGGACCTGCAGTGAACATTAGAAGTTAGCAAACGCAGCCCCAGTTTTTTGCAGAAGTTGAGAAGGTTCTGATGCTCAATAGGGTGCTTGGACTGTCATTGGCTATCTAGAACTGTTTCAGGCAAAAACCTGGAACCGCCATCTTGCAACGGGATGAAGATTGAGGTTCTGACTCTCAACAAAGGGTCAAGTTCCCATTCTTCAAATGTGGCTAAATGGTTAGCTAGTTAATTTCGGGACAATATGGGCCCGGTTTACACCGGGTATTAAAATGCCTTTTGGTCAATCGTCACAAGTGGACGAGGAAGAAGGCGTTTTAATCTCTTCTGTCTACTTTCGATCACTTCTGTCCGAGTTTCTTTTGAGGGGAGGGGAGGGGGATTTCTTTAGTGGCTGTCTCAAAAGTGGACAAAACGTTTTACACCCCATTCACACCTGTATTTAATAGGGATGGTAAGATTCACCGATTTGCATCGGTGCATAGGCATAAAAGTTAAAGATGCGATTTAAAAAAAAAAAGTGCATCGGTTACAAGTTGGCATTTGCATCGCGATGCATCATTTCTAACATATTTGCATTGGTAAAAACTGATTTATTTATATATAATTATTAGTAGATGTGCTATACTTTTATTATTTAGAAAGTGCCCAATAATTTGTGACCAATATTTCATATGTAGATTGATTTCTCCTCTCTAAACTGTTTCTACTGCTTCTACATGAATATGACATATCACAACACTACGGAGACAGAGACATGTCCTCACACAGAATATAGATTAACATGGCTGTCTGTCTGAACCAAAGAAATAAAAGCGAACTATCTGTACCATACTGAATTGCATAGCATCATATTTTTTTCCATTGCATCGTAATGCATTGAATCGTATTGTGTTGAATAAAATCAAAATCGGATTGCACTGCATCGTAATAGACGTGAATCGTATCGCATGGCATTGGTAGCTACTTCATATGTATTTATAATGTATCGTATCGTTGGCTATGCATCGAGATGCGTATCACATCGGTCTCAGTTACAGTGCCTTGGCTACAATTCCAGTTGATATGCAAGGTTAACTCTGTCTGACCAAGTAGCCAACTTTCATAAATAGGATCCAGAAGATGGAAATGACTCACCCTCTGGTAGCATTCAGGAAGGGTATGGTCCAGAGAAGGAGGCGTCCGTTGCATCAAGATCCCAATGGATTCCCTGAGCAGAGGAACCACACTGTGGGAAAGAAGGAGGCGAGAAATAAGTTGCCGTTCTGTGAGACATGAGCTCAATGGAGCGCCAAGTACTAGGCAAACTCTGGCAACAGGAAGGGACGCCACACATAAAGACGTCATTGGATATGAATCAGTTAATGACCTAACAGCTTGACACATCGTGTTATAAGCTGAGGAGAGGAAATTCTGTCATTATCATGACAAACAAGAACTCTTTTCATTCGGATTATTTCAGGGCATGCTCAATGTGGTCCAACATAAACTTGCCCATCTTATGGTTGGGGTGGAGTAACAGAGAGCTGTGCTGATATCATTCCAGCAACTGTAGTGCGTGTGAGCCAGCAAGCAACCCTGAGCACACCAGGATAGGCATCCAAACCCATTCATTCTACTGAAGAATCACTTGGCAGAAACGGTTGACCGGTAGAAGAAGAAAGGACTAGGACTATTTCTCTCCTAACCAGTCAGCCGTTTCTGCCCCATCAAAGCTAGGTCTTGGCTAGGCCAGCATCTTACAAAGTCATCAGTCCTCCTTGAAACATTCAAGGCCTGACCACTGCTCCATCTGGGAACCATTAGAGGGTTCCATGGTTTGGACTTTTTTCCCCGGTCCCTAATCTACTGTATCACCCCCATGTTCTCCTGAACTCCTCCCTGAAACCCCAGCCTCAGTTTTGGACACGCCAAAGTGGAGAAGCTGATCGTTTTCTCATTTGGACGTTCATGAAACTGTGGCAT